TGTCACCCTTACACATTGTCACCCCCTCACCGCCCCCCCCCCAGGCCCCCCCCCCCCCATCACCCATGTTTGGCCCAAGCATGCTAATGGGTCCACCACCGTGGGTTTGGAGACTGACCCCGCCTCTGCTCTCTACTCTATCATTCGTGATCACATGCATCGTTGTTTGGGTCGCTTATTTTCCGGGTCTAGCATCGCTGTTTGGGTCGCTTATCCTCCGGGTCTAGCATCGCTGTTTGGGTCGCTTATCTTCCGTGTCTAGCATCGCTGTTTGGGTCGCTTATCCTCCGTGTCTAACATCGCTGTTTGGGTCGCTTATCTTCCGTGTCTAGCATCGCTGTTTGGGTCGCTTATCCTCCGTGTCTAACATCGCTGTTTGGGTCGCTTATCCTCCGTGTCTAGCATCGTTGTTTGGGTCGCTTATTTTCCGTGTCTAGCATCGCTGTTTGGGTCGCTTATCCTCCGTGTCTAGCATCGCTGTTTGGGTCGCTTATCCTCCGTGTCTAACATCGCTGTTTGGGTCGCTTATCTTCCGTGTCTAGCATCGCTGTTTGGGTCGCTTATCCTCCGTGTCTAACATCGCTGTTTGGGTCGCTTATCCTCCGTGTCTAGCATCGTTGTTTGGGTCGCTTATTTTCCGTGTCTAACATCGCGGTTTGGGTCCCTTATCCTCCGTGTCTAACATCGCTGTTTGGGTCACTTATCTTCCGTGTCTAGCATCGCTGTTTGGGTCGCTTATCCTCCGTGTCTAACATCGCTGTTTGGGTCGCTTATCCTCCGTGTCTAACATCGCTGTTTGGGTCGCTTATCCTCCGTGTCTAACGTCGTTGTTTGGGTCGCTTATCCTTCGTGTCTAACATCGCTGTTTGGGTCGCTTATCCTCCGTGTCTAGCATCGCTGTTTGGGTCGCTTATCCTCCGTGTCTAACATCGCTGTTTGGGTCGCTTATCCTCCGTGTCTAACATCGCTGTTTGGGTCGCTAATCCTCCGTGTCTAACATCGCTGTTTGGGTCGCTTATCCTCCGTGTCTAACATCGCTGTTTGGGTCGCTTATCCTCCGGGTCTAACATCGCTGTTTGGGTCGCTTATCTTCCGTGTCTAGCATCGCTGTTTGGGTCGCTTATCCTCCATGTCTAACATCGCTGTTTGGGTCGCTTATCCTTCTAGTCGCTGTTTGGGTCGCTTATCCTCCGTGTCTACATCGCTGTTTGGGTCGCTTATCCTCCGTGTCTAACATCGCTGTTTGGGTCGCTTATCCTCCGTGTCTAACATCGCTGTTTGGGTCGCTTATCCTCCGGGTCTAACATCGCTGTTTGGGTCGCTTATCCTCCGTGTCTAACATCGCTGTTTGGGTCGCTTATCCTCCGTGTCTAACATCGCTGTTTGGGTCGCTTATCCTCCGGGTCTAGCATCGCTGTTTGGGTCGCTTATCCTCCGTGTCTAACATCGCTGTTTGGGTCGCTTATCCTCCGGGTCTAGCATCGCTGTTTGGGTCGCTTATCCTCCGTGTCTAACATCGCTGTTTGGGTCGCTTATCCTCCGGGTCTAACATCGCTGTTTGGGTCGCTTATCCTCCGGGTCTAACATCGCTGTTTGGGTCGCTTATCCTCCGTGTCTAACATCGCTGTTTGGGTCGCTTATCCTCCGTGTCTAACATCGCTGTTTGGGTCGCTTATCCTCCGTTCTAACATCGCTGTTTGGGTCGCTTATCCTCCGTCGCTTATCCTCCGTGTCTAACATCGCTGTTTGGGTCGCTTATCCTCCGTGTCTAACATCGCTGTTTGGGTCGCTTATCCTCCGTGTCTAACATCGCTGTTTGGGTCGCTTATCCTCCGTGTCTAACATCGCTGTTTGGGTCGCTTATCCTCCGGGTCTAACATCGCTGTTTGGGTCGCTTATCCTCCGTGTCTAACATCGCTGTTTGGGTCGCTTATCCTCCGGGTCTAACATCGCTGTTTGGGTCGCTTATCCTCCGTGTCTAACATCGTTGTTTGGGTCGCTTATCCTCCGGGTCTAACATCGCTGTTTGGGTCGCTTATCCTCCGTGTCTAACATCGTTGTTTGGGTCGCTTATCCTCCGGGTCTAACATCGCTGTTTGGGTCGCTTATCCTCCGGGTCTAGCATCGCTGTTTGGGTCGCTTATCCTCCGGGTCTAACATCGCTGTTTGGGTCGCTTATCCTCCGTGTCTAGCATCGCTGTTTGGGTCGCTTATCCTCCGGGCCTAACATCGCTGTTTGGGTCGCTTAAATTCCGGGTTTAGCACAATTTCGTCGCAGTCTAGATGCTATATATTTACGCTATACTTAAGCTAGACTTTCGCTATATCTACGATATATATTTGTGGTGTTCTTCAGCTACGTGGAACTACTTGTTCAGGCGTCAGTAAAACTATGATTGTGTGTGTGCTTGTGAATGTTGTGGGTGTTTTATATTGAGCTACTCAGAACGAAATGTCCATGTAGCACGGGCTATGGTGAGCCCGTAATGTGTTTTTGAAGCCGTACACAGGTTACCTAGTAGGGTTATCTTACAAGTAACCTACAGGTCACCTACAGGTCACCTAGCAGGAGTCACACCTAGCTAGCTTACATCTAAATTATTGGGAACGCTTACAAAATGTCAACTTGTGTTCTCTAGAGCACAGGCGGGAGAGATGGATAATAATTTATGTTTGGAAAATACTAGAAAGCACTGGTTCTATATCTGTACACGGAAATAACTTCACGTGAGACCAGGAGGCATGGTAGGATATGCAGAATACCCTTCGTTGAAAAGCAGAGGTGCAATAGGTACGCTGAGAGAGAACGCTGTTATCATCAAGACCCCAAGACTGTTCAATACACTCCCGCTACACATAAAGAGGCAGAACTGGCCGACCTCTCACGATGTTCAAGATATAAGTTGATAAACATTTGCAAAAGACGCCTGATCAACCAGGCTGCGTTTCATGCACCTCTACTTTTCAACGAGTTTGTTTTTTCACATCCTGCCATGCCTCCTGGTCTCGTGTGGAGTTATTTTTTATTTTAGTACGGCAATTTTTGGCCTTAGGTAACGCATACGTGCGAAAAGCGACGTTCTTTGCAGGAAGACAGGTTGGGCATGAGTGGGAAAGAGTACTGGAGCAAGCACAGTACCTTGGGGAACTGAGCTTTTCACAGTACATAAACCATATTTTACTGTGTATAATAGTAGCAGTTTGTTTGTGTTCCATGGATTTCAAGGCCATGTCATAATGGTCCATCAGTTGTGAGACACGGGCAAGGCAACCCGTTCTGAGACCAAGTCCATTCCATCCAGCGGTCGACCCCAAATACGCATTCATAAATTTTAACTTGCTGTTCATTCAAAACAGGAATTTTCTCATATATAAATTAATATTATTTTATATTACTGGATCTAATATACCTAATATAAATTAGAGATTAATTAAAGATTACCTAATATAAATTAATATTATTTTATATTACTATAATGTACATATTTAGGCACAGGTCAGGGTAGGTGTTTAGGTTCTATTGGCGATTATCTGTATTTGTAGTACGTGGGTGAAGCATTTATAGTTTTGTGGTTCGAACACAAGTCGTCAGTGAAGCACTTGTTCCGGAAGTGTTCGGACGTTATCAGTTATGAGTCGTGTGTAAACCGTTTTTCAATCATAAACAGCTGAGGGTTTGGCGGGTGGATGGAATGGACTTTGGGTCTTTGTTTATGAGGACGGGCTGGGCAAAATTAGTGGTAGATGTTTGAAGTGAATGTGATCTTTGGTCGTGGTGAGTTGTGAGACGCAAGAGCACCCTATTTTAGCCGCTATGTCTCCCAGGTGAACAAATCCACAAGGGCCGTGACGAGGATTCGAACCTGCGTCCGGGAGCATCCCAGACACTGCCTTAATCGACTGAGCTACGACAGGGTTAAAAGGGTTTAAACCCTTTTCAACCTTTTTTGGTTTCAACCCTTTTAACCCTATCGTAGCTCAGTCGATTAAGGCAGTGTCTGGGATGCTCCCGGACGCAGGTTCGAATCCTCGTCACGGCCCTTGTGGATTTGTTCATTTGATGCATCACGTTAGTGTGATCTCTATGTGTGATGTCTCCCAAGGTTATATAGACCATGAGATTCCATGTATCTTACTTATTTTCTCTCTTTCAAAGATTTTTATGATGAGTGATGTTAGAGCTATATATATATTTTTTTTTTACATCTGCTTTATTTTTTATTTTATTTTATTTATATATACAAGAGTGTTTACATTCTTGTAGAGCCATTAGTACGCGTAGCGTTTGGGCCAGGTTCTTAATCTTAATTTCCCCCGGAATACGACCCGCCAAATCGTTTAACTACCCATTTACTGCTGGGTGAACAGAGGCGTACACTTAAGGATTGGCGCCTAGTCAATCTTTCCCCGGTCAGGATACGAACCCAGGCCAAAGCGCTTGCGATTCGCCGGGTGAGTATTTTACCCCCTATGGCCAGTATGGCCAGACAGAAGTGGAATGCTCCCAGTAGACTGAGTACTCTTTGTTGGTGTAAGACAGTACTCAGTCTACTGGGAGCATTCCACTTCTGTCTGGCCATACTGCATATATAAGTATATATACTACATATATATATGCATATACTGCATATATAAGTATCTTCTTAAGTCTTTCTGGCCTTTTTTGAGTTCCTAAATTCCTCCCTTGATCTGTCATCCTCTTTTACCTCATTTGGTAAAGGCTTTACCTGTCCCTGCTTATTTGACTCGATATTATATACTTAGTTATCATGTCTCCTCTGGTCAGTCCCCTGAGTTGCTAGGGAGAGGTCACTCGACCTGTCATCTTATCTAGACTGTGATTTCCAGCAGAAGACACAGCAGATACGCTAAGAACTCTTAGTATGTCTGCTTAGAATGTAGTTTTATGTTAATATATTGTGTTATTATTTACAATAACTGTGAGGATTTTTCCTGTATGTGAAGGAAGACAATGGCGGTAATCCGGTGTTGTTTTGCAGGGCCTTGTTGTGGAGCGGGTTAGCGGGTGACCCGTCGTCGGCGATGTGAAGATGAAGGTAGCCCCCGCCCCGGCCGGGGACCCGCGTCCCGTAGCTGCGCCGGGCCCGTCGAGTCGATCTGAGATCGACCTGGGGGATGGGGCGCCGCTCCCCTCCAACGCCACAACTGACGCTACCCCCAACAGTGGCCGCGAGGATGGTGGGAGGTGGGCGGCGGCTGTTCTGCTTTTAACACATGTTGTAGAGCTGGCTGCCATGGTGGCTGCCATTCTCTCCCATGCCCTCCCTCTTCACCAGCTGCCTGAGCCCACATATACACCACCCGAGCTCAGTCTTTTGCCTGGGAATACCTCCGAAGTCACTCCAGAGTCCGGGCAGGAGAGTAGGGTGGGTGTGTGGGGGCATGTGTGTCTGCCTCTTCAGCTAGCGGTGGCCATTGCTCCTTTGGTAGTGATCACAGCCATATCTCTGGTATGGGCGGTGAGGGCACAGGACTTCTCCGGCAGGAGGACGGCGAGGATGTTGTGTTGGCTCCTGCATTGCTTGCAAGCCTCTATCTTATGGCGATTCCTCAAGGTGCACCTCGCCTTTGATCCCAGCGATGTTGCAGAGTTGGGGACACTGCGCTTTGTGCAAGTGCATGTGCACACGTTGCCCTTCTTGGTGCTACATGTGACCATTATGGTGAAGGACAGCGATGGATTTGCGTTGGTGAGTGTCATAGTGGCAGCTGCCATGGTTGTGTCAATCGTGGTGACGATAGTTGTTGCCACCACGGCCAGTCACAGTTCCCGCCCTTCCTCCCTCACTCCGCCCACCATCACGCAAGTGGCACATACCCCCATCCACGGGGCGGCCACAGACACCAGTCATGAGTCTCATGATGTGGCTGTGCGGGGTGTGGTGGCAGTGACTACGTCCTGTGTCGTGTGGAGCCGAGTGGCAGCGGTGGCGGCGCTCTTCTGCCTTCACGTCACTTGGGCATGTGTCTTGGTGGCTCTTCACTGGCTGGCGGCGCTCCTCTGGCTCAGTCTCCAGCAGGAGTTAGAACCCACCACGCTGGGTCCAGTTCGCAAGGCTCTCCGTCGAGCTTTCCTCGCCTATCTCCTGCTATGGGATTTTCATGTGTTTCGAGATGATGCCTCCGCCATGACAGTGTGCGCCCGTCCTAGACTTCCCGCCGCGTACTACTCGATCACCGCGCTCCAGAATGTAGCGGTTACCGCTACTTGGTACACTACCAGCAGAGCCGTGCAACCTGCAGCCCGTATTGCCATTCTCTCCTCCATGCTGGCTGCTCAAGCTGTGGCTCTGTTACTCTTGGCATTATCATACCTCTACTGCTCTTCGCTCCTGCCCTCTTGGCCTCGTAACAAGACCTCCGCCCTCACCAGGACGGCCTCACTAGTCACCCCCTGTGTCAAGCCTCAAGCCCCACCCTCTACTGACACCCACGATCGCAACAGCTACGTGGACTTTAAGGAAGTCGAAGGCGAGGAGTTCGAGGTTAATAAGGATACTAGAGACGAAGAGCATTCTACCAGAGAGGTAGTTACACCCCAAAAAGCAATACCACCCATGGCCCACTCGACACCTCGCACGCCCATACCACTTGCTCCTCGTCTCATGACAGCTCATCTCCCACCTACCATGTTCAGCTTCTCCCATGACATCCTGCCACTGCGATTGGCCAAATCCGAGCGTTCCTCCACTGACAACGGCTCCTTTAATTCACGTAACACAAATACGCTGCCAACACAGTTGCCACCAGAGTATAACCTCCGCAGAGCTCATGGATCCTTCTCCGATAGCTTCAGCTCACTATCCTGTGGCACCATCAGTCGTACCAACGCTACAGTGAGAACCGTAGTGACCCATGACCCCAGAGCTCAACGAACTCCGCCTCCCTTCGCTAAACAGACATTTGCTTCGCATTCGTCTTGCAGGAGCGGATATTGCCACTGTAAACTGTTTGATGGTATTGAAGGCTCTTGTGATGCGAATGAAGAAGAGGAAGATAGGGAAAATTATAACAAATATCGAAAGAAAGCTGCCAGTGAAAGGGATAGTAGAAAGGAAGGCGTCGGTGTGATAACTAATGATCACCCGGTGCAAGGTGGGACTAACAGCGTCGGCTTGCTGCCTGGTTCATCCGAACTTGTAGCAACTACGTGTGATTCAGCCCCTCGGGTGGCCATGGTGCGAGGTATTCAGAGGTTCAGAGTAGTGTGTGCAGCTTGCCTGCATGCCCATGACCCACTGCTCACGCGCTGCCATGCCCATGCCAGCCAACCTGAGGCACTCTTCACACTGTGCCATGCCCATACCTTGCCATCCGAGGCACCACTTTCCCCTAGCTGTCATGGAGTGCCACTGGTGCAATGTTCCACAGCCACGTTCAGTCGTTCTTGTGTAGGCTTGGGTGGCGGATCTAGTACAGATTATCCATCTGATACGGAAGTCACAGCCACCGCTGATACCTTGAGTTCCGCTTCGGCTGACTCGCATTCTACCTACACCACCTGGCCTGTGGCTCGTGGACCAGGCATGGCACGCCTTCTCCAGCTTCACCCAGGCTCGCATGACTATGTGACGGCATGGCTTCGTCACCAGCAAGCCCGAGGACCTCGTTTACCTCCTGCGCCTCCTCAGGCAGTCCACCATTCCTCCCACTCCACCAGTCCCGAGTTAATGGTCCATCAACACCGCCGTCCTCGCATCCACTTGCCTCGTCCTTCGCGCCAAAAGGACCCCGCGCTGCCTCACCTTCTTCAGGACCTGGAGACCGTAGTGTAAGAACTCCACGTGTCTTTTCTGCACCTGTGTGTGGCGCCCAAAATGTGTTTCAATGAGGGAGTGTGTGTTTAAATGTATATGTGTGTGCCAAACTTGCTGTATGTCAAGGGATCATGATACATGTATTGCAATACACGAGTCTGACTTCCGCCTTCATTTTTAGTACGATTGTAGTACTAAATTCTCATTCTCAGCTGCAAGGTCAGCTACATTACAGTCTCAGGGGTGGTGACGGGTGGGAGTCAGCTGGGCTCCAAGGCTCACAGGGACCTCAGCCCGCCCATTTCTAAGACACCCGCACCCACAGCCAGGTGGTGGGTGGGTGGGGGGGGAGGGGTGGTGCGTGCTGGGCCTTCTGCCTACTATATAAGTCATGTATATAGGCCCTGTGTGGCGCCATTAATGACAGATGTATGCTAAGTCCTTTATAACTCTTTTATATTATATTTTAAGATAAAATACTTTTGGACCAATGCATTTTATTTTTCCTGTCGCTGAAGGTGTGTGCTTGAAAAAGGCTTTAACTAACTTACTGAAAAAACATTCTATCCAAAGAGAATTGCTCACACAATTTAAATTTATATCCACTTCTGAATACCGTCCAGCCCAAGAATCACTTGGGGTGGACGGTAGAGCATCAGTCTCGCTTCATGCAGATCGGCGTTCAATCCCCGACCGTCCATAAGTAATTGGGCACCATTCCTTTCCCCCGTCCCATCCCAAATCCTTATCCTGACCCCTTCCAAGTGCTATATAGTCGTAATGGCTTGGCGCTTTCCCCCTGATAATACCCTCTCTTCCCTCCTGAATTTACCTGCAAAGCCGAGTCCCACGAAATGAGTCATATACTCAATCTTTGCTATCAGTGAAGTCTGGCATTTGACCAGACTGAACATTCATCAGGAGCCACTGAAAATTACAAACCCACTGTCAGTTCCACTTGTGTAGAGTGCAAACAATATGTAGAGAGCACTATAGTCGGCTGTATCATAATTATGTTCGCGTTCCACTCTGAAGAACAATATACAACCGGATTTCAAAGCAAAGTTGAGGATCGGTCTCCGAGCGCCCCCCCCCCCCCCCCCAGAAAGTGGCGGGAAAGAGTGGTGAGAGCTCTAACCAGCTGTTTCACACTAACCTGTTTCACACTTATCTGTTTCACACTCATCTGTTTCACACTCATCTGTTTCACACTCATCTGTTTCACATTTAGTTGGTCTCGCACCTTCACAAAGCATCTTCCTCAGCAAGCCGTCAACAGCCCGGGCAAATTCAAATTCAAATTCAATTCAAATGAGCTCTATAACGCCCAGTGCGCACTATATACTTTTCTCAACTGACCTTTATATATTTATTTTGTTATTTAATTATATATACAAGAGTTGTTACATTCTTGTACAGCCACTAGCACGCGTAGCGTTTCGGGCAAGTCCTTAATCCTAATTTTCCCCGGAATACGACCCGCCAAATCGTTTAACAACCAATTAGCCATTTTACTGTTTTGTAAACAAAGGCTACAGTTAAGGATTGGTGCCCAGTCAATCCTCCCCGGCCAGGATACGAACTCAGGACAAAGCGCTCGCGAAACTCCGGGCGAGCATGTCTTACCACTGTGCCACAGGGACTGCATATCATCAGTACATATAGGTGATGAGTTAGCCAAAGAATTTTCCTGCTAAGAAGTTCATTATAACCTCCAAACCTATAAGCTCACTGAGGACACTAATTATATATATAATACACCAAGAAGTTCAACAATACCTTGTAGAGATGCTGCGCAGTGAAATCTACTGTAATTCCATCTATCATCATACTATCATGCAAGAAGAGTCACTCATCTATGGATCATCCAATAAAATCAGCAGACTCCTTAATGTCCTTCTGACTAGAATTGTAGTCACCAAGAATGATGGTTGGTTCTGCCTAAGCATAGGTTTGAAGATCAATATAACATCCCTATTCCAAAATCTACTACCCAAAATCACTTACGTCCTCTAATTACCCAACACAAAGCCGCTATTAGAACAATATCCAACTCTGGCCCCAGACATCACTCGGTACCCCTACTCAAATCTCTTAATATGTTAGATATTAAGTCACTGCACATTCTCTCATGTGTATTATACATATATAAAACGCTAAACTATAATGCCAATCCTGATCTTAAAAGCTTCATAGAAGGTTGTAACAGAACCCATGAGCACCACACCAGAAATAAATACAGTTTTGATATTCCTAGAGTACGTCTTAATCAAACTAGAAATGCTCTGCAAATCAAGGGGCCCAGAATGTGGAATGACCTTCCCAACCATGTTAAAGACTGTACCTCTCTCAACCAGTTTAAGATAAAAACTAAACACTACCTAATAAATTCCCTGTAATCTACCTCACTCCTCTATTGTCAACCCATGTCTGTTATTTTCTTTTTTTTTTCTTTTTTTTAATCAACACTGTTTGTCAACCTATTGTATTTGTGCTGCTTTTTCAGTCATGTTCCCCCTTTTTTTTTATCTTTATTTGTATTTGTTCTCAACATCTTTTATTCTTTATGCTCAATTAGTATTAAGTTCTAGATATTAATGTTTTTTCTTGCCCGAAACGCATTGCGTAATAGTGGCTTTAGGCATTGTATGTACTAGCTCTATCTATATATCAATCCATTAATGTAACATCACTTGTATGTATATACCTTACCTGAATAAACATCTGAATCTGAATCTGAATCTATTGGAGCATGTATATACAGACGAGGAGTCACAATAACGTGGCTGAAATATGTTGACCAGACCACACACACTAGAAGGTGAAGGGACGACGACGTTTCGGTCCGTCCTGAACCATTCTCTGGAGAATCGATTTGAGAACGGACCGAAACGTCGTCGTCCCTTCACTTTCTAGTGTGTGGTCTGATCAGCATTTAGATTAGATACTGTACACTGTGAACCGAGTTACCCACATCAATTCTTACTCCATGATAGTGTTGATCCTGATTGGATTTTGTGGAGAAAGTTGAAGGGGAAGGGGAAGGGATTATTGATGTAAGGAATGCAAGAGTTACTGGATTTGAGGCTGCAAGCAACAACTGAAGCCAAATTTGGTGGTGAGGATCTTGCAGGAAGTCTCCATTCCTGGAGACAATATAAATAACTGTAAACAAATCCACAAGGGCCGTGACGAGGATTCGAACCTAGGTCCAAGACAGGACTATTAGGTGATAGAAAATGTGCCCAACTATTTCTGTCCCACCCGGGATTCGAACCCGAAATTCTCGAGTGTGAGTCGAATAGAACCCGACTATTACCGGAATCCCTAAATGGATTTATTCTTTTAAATAAATGTCGTAATTGTTATTGTTATTTGTCATTGGCATCGACTAATGGGTTCACTTGTTACTCAAATAAACAAAGACTACGAGCCTAAACTCAATTGCACTTGTAAAAATATGTAGATTATAGTAGAATTGGGTTCGTTCTCAACTCACAATCTGGAATCCAGGGTTCGAATCATGGGTGGGAACAGAAATGACAGGACACGTTTTCTTTCACCTTCTGTCTCTATTCACCTAGCAGTAAATAGGTACCCGAAAGTTAATGAAATGTTGTGGTCGACTATTCTGTGGAGGGTCAGTAAATAGTTCGATTTTTGTGGGTACCCTGATATGAACCTACCGTATATACATACTCAGGCTGCCTGTCCCCACAACAAAACGAATTAATGATTGAGGAAATAGAACTAAAAAAAAAAAAACTTTGCTTACAATCAATTTTTAATATAACTACCCAATAACTAGATAATTATAAATACAAATATATGTTAAAAATTAACCATTTTAATATTAAATAATCCTTCAAAATTTTAGATGTTATTAAGGAAGGAATTATCACGTATTAATGCAGGTATTTGCTTCCCTAATTCCATGTATGACTGTGAGATGGGAATATTAAATAGCCAGTTTTTGATCTACATTATATACTCTTTCATATATAATAGGATAGCAACACATTGTTGTCTATACCTAAGCTGGTTAATAAAAAAAATTGCATTCTATCTATCCATTAGTGGCTTTAGGTATTGTGTGTACTAGCTCTATCTATCAATCTAATATAGATGGCTTTATAGATCGATATTTATAGGATATATAATCCAATAAATATGCTTATAACGCATCTTCTATGTATGTACTTTTACTTGAATAAACATTTGAAATTGAAATTGAAATTGAAATAAGTTTATTGAGGTAAAATACACACAAAGGGATGAGGTAGCTCAAGCTATTCTCACCCCGTTCAGTACATCGTGTTAATACATACATAAACACACATCACAAACAATAAACATATTACCAAACATTCTCAGAGATAAACATATACATTTCCTAATAAACATTTTGATTTTGATTTGATTTGATTTGGATAAAAACAATATTAGGCAGTTAGCCCCCCGAGCCCGAAGCTTTTGTTGACAAAGTAGCTGGGTTGAGGGATGTGAGGCCGCGATCACTGTAAATATTATTTTGATCATGGTAAGGATGGTTTGTAGCGTCTCTAGACTTGCCAAGGGTTGTTTGACATGCGGGTAGCGGGGTGTAGTGTGGTTGGAGTGGGTGGTTAAGTGGTGTGAATGTGGCTGGTCTACGAGAGGAGGGAGGGAAGGAAGGGATGTCTGGTGCTTTGGGGTTCTGTTCCCCCTCCACGTCAACTCTGTGACGCCATTTGCCCAGCCACGTCAACGTTGTGACGCTCTGCAATCACCTACGTCAACCCTGGGACGTCATTTACCTATCCACGTCAACGTTGTGACGTCTTGCACCCAACCACGTCAACTGTGATTTCATGACCCAGCTACGTCAACCCTGTGACGCCATTTACCCAGCCATGTCAACCCTGTGATTTCATGCACCCAGCCACGTCAACCCTGTGATTTCATGCACCCTGCCATGTCAACCCTGTGATTTCATGCACCCAACCATGTCAATCGTGAGATTTCATGCACCCAGCCATGTCAACCCTGTGATTTCATGCACCCAACCATGTCAATCCTGTGATTTCATGCACCCTGCCACGTCAACCCTGTGATTTCATGCACCCTGCCATGTCAACCCTGTGATTTCATGCACCCAACCATGTCAATCCTGCGATTTCATGCACCCAACCATGTCAATCCTGCGATTTCATGCACCCAGCTACGTCAACCCTGTGATTTCATGCACCCAACCATGTCAATCCTGTGACTATACATACCTCACCCTATTCCACCCACATATGGGTTAGCATTTGGTCCCTGATGAGTTGTGTGGTTGGACACTGTTCCTTCATCCCATCCTTGTATCTCGGCTTGCCTTCGTATCTTTTGCCCGGCCACTTGGGGTGGACGGTAGAGCGACGGTCTCGCTTCATGCAGGTCGGCGTTCAATCCCCGACCGTCCACAAGTGGTTGGGCAACCATTCCTTTCCCCCCGTCCCATCCCAAATCCTCATCCTGACCCTTTCCAAGTGCTATTTAGTCGTAATGGCTTGGCATTTTATCTTCATAATAACTCGACTTTCTACTTCTATTGTTATGGGTGTTTATACCTCACAATTATGTTTTGGAAATAGAGAACCCTTTCTCGTAGTTAAGGGGCGTTGATATACTGGATAAAGGCCAATGGGGGTGTTGCATTATTTGGATGTAGGATAATTTAATTGGATCCATTTGGTCCCAAAATAAATAAACACATTTGTGTCTAGTGACATTTCACTGATGATGTTAGGTCTTATTTTTACCTTTCATTAGGTAATGGTATGGATGGATGGCAAGACGCATTCAAATCCTCGACTGATATTCCGTTTTTTAAGACGGCTTTATTTCTGGCCCTTTTTGTTCCTGCTTCATGCTTTTTTTTCTGGTAGCGTGGGTCTTGTTTCTTTGGCACAGGTAATTGGTTTCTTTGACGGCTGTCTTCTTGTTCATTGTTAGTACTGTACAAGATTTGTGATATATGGAAGGGTCCTGTAGTCATTAATGCTTGGTTTGATTTATCTGGCCAGGTGCATCATATGCTTTGTCCTGTGGCTTGGGTTGTGGTCATACTGTTAGGGCTCGAGGCCTTGTTTGTCAACCCTCTTTCTAAACAGGAATGCTAGATTGGGCTACTTGTAGCCCAATTGGGTTACCAATTAGGATAATTGTATTCAATTAAAAAGCCAGTAATGTATGTCGCTACTTACTACTTTTTCGGCTACAGTTAAAATAAGTTGGGCTGTTTATTCTGAAAAGCGAATCAATCGGGGAAAAAAATATTTGCCTACTTTTATTGTAAAGTTTGTGACATTTAGCTCTTCAGCTCCCAACTTTTGGCAAACTTGGAAATTCCAAATTTGATTTTGTCAGCTGGGTGTGTACCCTCTAGCTTATTCTCTGCAGTCGTTTGCTACTTTGACAACTTTCTTTTATCATATGTTTTTAACTAGTATCTGTGGTTTGGGCTTCTGTGATCCAACAAGGTTTTTTGTTTTGCATTACTGATTAGATGTACCTGTTACCTAGCAGTAAAATAGGTACCTGGGTGTTAGTCAGCTGTCACGGGCTGCTTCCTGGGGGGTGGAGGCCTGGTCGAGGACCGGGCCGCGGGGACACTAAAAAGCCCCGAAATCATCTCAAGATAACCTCAAGAAGATGTATCTTGGTCTCGTTTCGCTTGTGTTGTATTTGTTGTTGATTGAGGGACGACAGCGAACGAGGGATCGGATGTGGGGTTGTATTTGGTGTGCTGCAGGTGTGCTTCTGCCCCTGGACCATTTTCTCAGATAATTATTCTCTTAGAAAGTAAGCCCTGTCCACCTTTTTTGTTTTTTTCCTAATTCTTTTTCCTTTCCAGAAAACCTGGTTTCTACTGAGGTTCTGTTGCTTTGGGTTGGAGGGTGGAAAAGGTCTATTGAATTGTGGGGTTGGCAGGTTCAGCACAGGGGGCTCTAGACTGTAGTGGAGGCTGGTTGAGACCCGGATGTTCTGAGACACCATGTGGTAATAGTTGGGCGTTTCATGGTTAGGGTATTTACCCCATGGTAAACAACCCTTGCCTCATAAGGCTAGGCAAATTCTGGTGGGATTAGCTAAGGCTTGGCAAAACTAGAACTCATCTTTGAGGGAGGGGCCATCAGAAATGGCTATTTCATGAAAATGCTGGTTCGGATCTCCCACATTGCTCCAACTGATTTTGTCATTGATACCAGCTTGATGGGGTTCTGGGAGCTCTTCTACTCCCCAAGCCCAGCCTGAGGCCAGGATTGATAATTAGGCTTGATAATTCATGCCATTTTTATTTTTTTGTTAGCGTGTTTCATTACATTCATTACTTTTTTTTTTTTCTCTCTCTCTTTCTCACTCCAACTTCCAGGCTCGATTTTTTCATAGTACCTACTTGCCGCTCTACTGACGTTTAAGGCACCCTCCCACCTTATAGATGTGGTCATGTTCCTTGTCTGCCAGGCGCTCATGTCTCGGCTGCAGGCTGCTTGAACCCTGCTAAAGAGGGGAGTCGGGTTCCTTGCCATACCTTCAGATCCAAATTGGCTTCTTTGTGTTAATAGTTTGCATGACATTCAGTATTAATCATAATTAACAGACAATGCATTTTGAAGACTAGCATAACATTGTTGGTGCTGATTAATTCCCATGCATCTGTGTAGATCATAATACTGACCACAAGTGTCAGTGTTACGAGGGGCCTGACGCTTAGTGGACAGCGCTCGGGATTCTTGAGGTTATCTTGAGATGATTTCGGGGCTTTAGTGTCCCGGCGGCCCAGTCCTCGACCAGGCCTCCACCCCCAGGAAGCAGCCCGTGACAGCTGATTAACACCCAGGTACCTATTTTACTGCTAGGAAACAGGGGCATAGGGTGAAAGAAACTCTGCCCATTGTTTTTTGCCGGCGCCTGGGATCGAACCCAGGACCACAGGATCACAAGTCGAGTGTGCTGTCCGCTCGGCCGACCGGCTCCGATTCGTAGTCCTGAGGTTCCGGGTTCGATCCCCCCGGTGGAGGCGGAAACAAATGGGCAGAGTTTCTTCTACCCTGATGGCCCCTGTTCAGCTAGCAGTAAATAGGTACCTGGGAGTTAGACAGCTGCTATGGGCTGCTTCCTGGGGATGTGTAACAAAAAGGAGGCCTGGTCGAGGGCCGGGCCGCGGGGATGCAAAGACCCGAAATCATCTCAAGATAACCTCAAGATATAAGGACACTTGCTGTACTGCATTTAAAGAGTAATGAAAGATATAGTTTTTGAGGCAATACTTCAGGGTTGTGAATGTTTATATAATTGTGAAAGTGGATAGGAAATTCAGTCCAGACATGACAGGAAATTCAGTCCAGACATGAGTGTGTGTGCAAGGTGAGGTCATGAGTACGAGGTTTTTAATTTGGGTTGTATGGCTTGGACCCTGCTATCCCAATTATGCATAGCTATAATTGCAGTACTGTACAGTATATTTTAATATGCAACCTGCTGCTCAGCTTGTATAATATTGTACAGTGTACAATGGTACTGTATATTATACAATACAATTATCAGTCCCCTGTGGTAAAGCACTCGCCCAGCGCTTCACAAACGCTTTGGCTGGGGTTTGTATCCTGGCCGGGGAGGATTGACTGGGCGCCAATCTGTAGCCTCTGTTCACCCAGCAGTAAATGGGTACCTGGTTGTTAGTGTGTGTAATTACCTAAGTGTAATTACCTAAGTGTAGTTACAGGATGAGAGCTACGCTCGTGGTGTCCCGTCTTCCCAGCACTCTTTGTCATATAACGCTTTGAAACTACTGACGGTCTTGGCCTCCACCACCTTCTCACTTAACTTGTTCCAACCGTCTACCACTCTATTTGCGAAGGTGAATTTTCTTATATTTCTTCGGCATCTGTGTTTAGCTAGTTTAAATCTATGGCCTCTTGTTCTTGAAGTTCCAGGTCTCAGGAAGTCTTCCCTGTCGATTTTATCAATTCCTGTTACTATTTTGTACGTAGTGATCATATCACCTCTTTTTCTTCTGTCTTCTAGTTTTGGCATATTTAATGCTTCTAACCTCTCCTCGTAGCTCTTGCCCTTCAGTTCTGGGAGCCACTTAGTAGCATGTCTTTGCACCTTTTCCAGTTTGTTGATGTGCTTCTTAAGATATGGGCACCACACAACAGCTGCATATTCTAGCTTTGGCCTAACAAAAGTCATGAACAATTTCTTTAGTATATCGCCATCCATGTATTTAAATGCAATTCTGAAGTTAGAAAGCATTGCATAGGCTCCTTGCACAATATTCTTAATGTGGTCCTCAGGTGATAGTTTTCTATCTAGAACCACTCCTAGATCTCTTTCTTTATCAGAATTCTTTAAAGATTTCTCACATAATATATAGGTTGTGTGGGGTCTATGTTCTCCTATTCCACATTCCATAACATGACATTTATTAACATTAAATTCCATTTGCCAAGTGGTGCTCCATATACTTATTTTGTCCAGGTCTTCTTGAAGGGCATGACAATCATCTAAATT